CATAACTGGCTATTTTGGGTTTCATTTCACTTCCTTCTTAGAGATTCCCTTGCTCTTTTCCTGGGCCCCTCGTCCTCCCTGTTCTGGTCTTGGCATTTTCAATATACACCATAGCACAACTTTTTCTTTTTAAAAAATAAACTAATAGGATTCCTCCTCTCTTCTTTTAAATTTTTATTCTTATTTATTTATTTGGTACAAGGTCTCACTATGCAGCTCAGGTTTGTAGTGATCCCTCTGTCTCACCCTCTTCAGCGCTGGGTTTACAGGGGTTCACCACCAGGGGCTGGCACGTGGTACCCAGGGTCAAACTCAAGGCCTTGTGCTTGCCAGCACAGCGCTAGATCACCGGGCTCTCTCTCCAGCCTTCTTCCCCCCTTTCTGTGTCAGTATCCTTATCTCTGTTAGAGTATTTTTGCTAGTTGTCTTCTTCCTATTTAAGAATAACCTATGTTCTCAGGGATTCCCTAACTAGACCTCTCTCTTTCCTCTCTCCCTCCTTTCCTAAATTTTAGATACTAGACTTTCATATGTTCTGAAATCTTTAATTCCTTGAATTCAATACATACCCAACTTGTTAGCAAATTGTAGTAACCTAGAATTAGGCTATTAGGGGATGGGGAGATAGCTCTGTAGAATAAGCACCTGCCTGGCAAGCATAAGGTCCTGAGTTCAATCCCTGGTACCCCCCCCCCAAAAAAAAAGTCTGTTGATGAAAACAGATGATAAACTACCTTCCCAAGGGACATTTGTATCCTTTTCATATAACTAATTCTTTACGAAAGTATACATTATTTCTGAATATAACAGTTCAGATATCAGAGAACTTGTGAAATAGGGAAGAAATTTAAATAAGGGACTCCTGATATTTCATATCACTTTATTGGCATTCATTTTAACTATGTATAATTGCTATTTTTTCAACAGCAGAGTAAATTTCAGAAATCTAAATATCATCTAAAATCAAAGAATTCCTTTTCTTCTACTATTTCTTCTGTACATTTTTCAGCATAGCTGTTTCCTTTAGTTTTTGGCAAGCTAAGTATGGGCTTTGGCACACCCTTTTATATCCCTTGGAGATGTGTACGTAATACTAGCTTTCTTGTTTATTCCTCTCATTATTCACACCATGTGTTCTTATAACAAAAACTATTATATCTCTTGATGTCCCATGATGGGATTTTCTGGAATTGGTTTATTATTTTTAGGATTTACTCCCTCAAAAAATATGACTTTTCTGAATTGTAGAATAATTAACTTCAGGAAAGTTTATTTCTCCCTTGACAGTATCAAAACAATTCATGCCCATGTTCTTTTTGTTAAAAAAAAAGAAAAAAGAAACAAAACATAAAAGTTTCTACACAGCGAAGGGAACAACTGATCAAATGAAAACAGCCTACAAACAAGAAAAAAAATTGTAAACCATGTAGCTGATAAAGACTCAATAACCAGAATATATAAAGAACTCATAAAACTCAGTAATGTTTTATATTACATTATAGCAACTATAGTTGACAATAGCTAATTGAATATTTTCAAATAGCTAGTAGAGAAAATTGTGAATATTCCCAACACAAGTAAATTATACATATTTGAGGTAACAGATATGCCAATTATCCTGATCTGATCTTTTTTTTTTAAATTTTATTTATTTGTGTGTGTGTGTGTGTGTGTGTGTGTGTGTGTGT